GCCCTGCGATAGACTGGCGACCTGTCCAGGGTGTCCCCTGCCTTCGCCCTAAGTCAGCTGAGATGGGCTCCAGCCCCCCTGTGACCCTAGTGAGGATTAAGCGGTGTATAGAAAATGGATGGATCATTAGAAATGCTCATTTCTTCAACGTGGCAACGCACTGTTTTCCTGGAGCAACTGTCTCTGTCATCCTCAAAAAACTCCCAGAAATAATCCGTTCACTCCCATCATCTGTCCATCAAATTATCATCCACGTTGGATGCGTGGATGCCTCTCGCCGACAGTCTGAACTCACCAAAACAGAGTTCAACAAACTTTTTCGCCACATTAAATCCACCGGTAAATCCATTCATTTAATTAATTAATTAATTTATTTGAACAGGGACCATGCATTTTTACATAGACAACATCTGATGTATCACATATAGAGTGTATAACATTAAGCTAATTTTCAACTCCCGTACCTGGTTGGGCTTTTCAGTAAAAAGAGACAAAGGTCCAACAACACCAATAAAAACAGCACAGACAACATTATAAACATATAATCCCCCACCCACCTGCCTGCACACACATACACACACACACACACACACACAAAACGGCACAACCCCCAGTCAGTCTGACCTTATGCATGTCATAGGTGGGTATATTATTGTTTTTCTTTCAGCAAGTCCTTAATTTTTGCTGTGAAAGTTTTTAAATCTGCTAATTTCATTTGGTGATGTGTTCCAGATGTGACAGCCTTTGATTGAAAAGGATGTCTGACCAAATGTAGTTCTGTGGTAAGCTATTTTGCAGTTGTTGGTGGAACTTCTGGTGACCCTGCTTCTTTCCTGTCTATGGATGAATCTACAGAGTGGCTGTGGCGCTGATTTATTGAGGCATTTAAACATTAATTTGAGAAAGCAGAAATCAATGAAGCTGTCAAAACTCAAAAAAAAATTGTGTTATCTTAAAGTAAAACAGTGATGCCATCAAATTGTTTTTTTTATCCAGAATTTTTAGAGCTTGTTTGTATAATGAGCCTATGTTTTTTATTGTGGATGGGGCTGCTTGAGGTCAAACTGTTAGACACTATGAGATAGCGGTCCACTCTCTCCTCACAACCGTGGCTCAGGACTTTTCAGCAGGATTCTTTCCCTCCATACATGGCTAAAATCAGCCTGCACGTCTCACTCTGTGAGCTTCATTGATAATTTTAATCTGTTTTGGGGTCGTAAATCCCTCTTTAGAGATGGTCTCCACCTCAACAAACTGGGCAGCCATATCTTCACAGTCAACCTGCAGCACGCGGTCCACACCCAGCCACGTGATTGACTGTTTACATCCAGCACGCAGCCTCCCCTGTCTTCTTCTGCCGTCAACAGCCACTACACCTCCACGTGCCATAGCTCCCCCTATAGACCACAGAGCTCTCTGCATTCTCCTCATGTCCCTCTCATCATTCAGCCTGCAGCCTCAGTCAGTGCTCCCATTCCCCCCATCATAACCACCAGATCTCTCCGCCCCTGCAAGAGACTTGCAAAACAAGTCAAACAATCCCAACATAACCTACGCCTGCTCCCCCACATCTCACAACCTCCCACACATCAACATATCCTTAGGTTTGCTCTCCTTAACACCCGCTCTCTCAACAATAAAGCACCTCTCCTGAATGACTTTACTACGGACAATAACCTGGATTTCCTCTGTCTCACTGAAACCTGGCACAACCATCTGGAATACTTCTCCCTCAATCAAGCTACCCCCCCAGGATACAAATATCTGGACTGACCCCGCTCCACTGGCCGAGGCGGTGGTGTTGCCTCTATTTTCAAGGCCTTCCTTGAACCCAAGACCATCTCCACTACCTCTGCTGAATCATTTGAACATATTGCTTTCAAAGTCCTGTCCCCCACCCCCATTGTTATTGCTGTTGTCTGCCGATCCCCCCAAGCCAAATCCATCATTCCTTTCCGATTTCACTGATTTTGTCACTCATCTCTCTGCCATCTCGTCCTCAGTTTTACTTCTTGGTGACTTCAACTTCCATATTGACAACAAAAACTGTAAACAAGCCTCTGACTTCTTGGACCTCCTCGACTGCCTCAACCTAACCCAGCATGTCAATTTCCCCACCCACTCTCATGGCCATACTCTGCTTTACTGGTCTCACCATCCAGCAACTCTCCAGCCTCAACCTCCACATCTCCGACCACCTGGCCATAGTCCTTGATATCCACTTTCTCACCCCCGTCTTTAAAGAAAAGCCCACTATAATCTTTAGAAACATTAAATCCATCTCACCCCAAGACTTCTCTGCCTTACTCAGCTCTGCCATAGCTTCATCCCCTCCCTCATCATTGGATGACCCTGACTACCTCACTAACTATTATAATAACTCTCTCTCCACTTGCCTAAACAAACTAGCCCCTATAAAAACCAAAACTGTTTTTTTTTTTTTTTTACACACTAAGCCCCCTGGTTCACTCCTGACCTCCATAATCTGTAATCACAAAAACGCCAACTTGAAAGACTTTACAAGAAAACTGGACTCACAGTTCATCTCCAAGCTTACACGGATCACCTCCAACTGTACAAAGCTGCCCTTATCCACGCCCGCTTCACCTATCACTCAAACCTTATTCACACCAGCTGCAACAACCAAAAGACACTCTTTTCCACTGTCAATAAACTCCTCAAGCCCAGCGACAACACCTCAAACTCATTTACTGCTGACAAATGCAATTCTTTCCTTTCATTCTTCCAATCAAAAATTGATTCCATTTATAACTCCCTATCTGCCTCCCCTTCCTGCCATGTCTCTCCCCAACTCAACTCGATTATCACTTCTCCTCTCTCTAATTTCTCACCCATCTCCTCAGCTGATCTGACCAAAATCATTACCACCATGAAGTCCTCCACCTGCACTCTCGATCCCATCCCATCCGTTCTTGTTAAACACTGCCTCCCCACCATCTCTCCACTTATCGTTAAAATTATAAACTCGACCCTTACCTCCTCCACTGTCCCTCATTCCCTTAAACTGGCTGCCATCACCCCCATCCTCAAGAAATCTGGACTCAGTCCTGACAATATCAGTAACTTTCGACCCATTTCCAACCTTCCCTTTCTCTCTAAGATTCTGGAAAGAACTGTTGCCACCCAAATCAAAACCCATCTCACTAACAATGACCTCTATGAACAATTTCAATCCGGATTCCGCACTCATCACAGCACTGAAACAGCCCTCCTTAAAATCTCCAATGACCTCCTCCTCTTCGCTGATACTGGCTTTCT